TATATAAAAAATTAAGTATAATAATCTCCCACGGCAGCACACCTGTCACTAGAGTAGTAAACAATTTGACTTTTCCTTATAGAAATACAATTGACTTCGAAGTTCCGTGCTGATATTTTATAGGAGATATCACTTTCCTAGTTAGAATGATTGTACCCTTAACCGAGCCCAGTACTAATACTCCAAATCTGTGGGGACATGTCACTATACCGCCATGTGGAGCATCCAACGTGTGGCTTTGCTTATTAGTTCTATGGTAGTGGTACTTTAGTTTAACAATTTTAATTATGTGATATTTTAGTCTCAATATTTGTAAATATTTACAAATAGGTCTCTAACCAAAATGTTGATTGATAACATGTTTTTAAAAGAAGGTTAGTATAGAGTATGTCATCCTCTTATTTTTTTTTGTATAGGACTTGTTTAAAAACTCATATTTTAATTAATATTTTAAAAAATTAACTTGTTAGATTAAATATTCTATTCATATAAATTATATATATTAATTTATAAATTAATTTATTGTTTATAAACATTTAATTGAAAAAACTCTATTTACTAACATATTTTTAATGATATTAAATTTTTTGTAATTAAATAATAGGTTAGGTAGACTAATATGAAAATTAACACTTGTGATATACATGAATGGAACATTTAATCCAATTGTTGATTTTTAAAAATATTACTTAATGTATTTTTTGGATATCTTCTAGAAGTATGTATTGCAAAATATTTTTTCCTCTAAAAAGAGTGTAAAGATTTGTAGTTTGAAATACATTGGACAGAGGGATTGTACCTATATTTAGGGGGCATCATTGTTAATGACTAGAGTTGAGTACCTAGATACTTATGCTTGAGTTTGCTTTAAAGATTCAAGCTCAAGTCAAGCTCGAGTATTTGTCGAGTTCAAAATAGTTGAACTTGTGCTCAAGCTTGTGAATATTTGAATAAGTTTGAACTTACTCATGTGCTTGAGCCAATGAGCACTTTAACTTAAATTCAAGTTTTTTTTTCATGTAATTTCAAAATATTTCAATAATTAATTATTTAACCATAAATTTTTCTACATTTTAAAAAAATATTATAGTACCAAAAGCCTAAATATATTAAGTCTTGCCATAAAAAAACAACATAAACTCCATTTGAATATTTTTATTAATACTTCTAACTCAAATTTAATAAATAAATATATAATATATAAATTTTAATTTTAAATCGAGTATTTGCGAATAGCTCAAGAGTAACTATAAAAGCTCAAGCTTAATTTTTTATTGAGCTCAATATTAAACTCAAACTTGATTCATTTACCAAATGAGTCGAACTTGAGTTAAACTTAAGTTGGGCTCTAATCAAGTTTAACTTGAGAAATCTACGAGTTACTTATAAATTATTTTACTTGTTAATAGCCCTAAGGGCATGTCCTGTAGAATGGTTTAATTAAAATATTTAAGACTAAATTTTACATATTTAAAATCTTAATTTGGACTAAATTTCAAAAGATCACCTTAGGTTGTTTTTGCTCATCCCAGAGAGTTTAGGGGGGGCTCATTTGCCTCAAAACTAATTTACGGGCTTAAGGAGAAAGAGGTTAATTCAAGGACTTAACATGGATCCCATAAAAAAAAAAA